GCGACCTATAGCTTTCTATTATGGAAAGATATTTTAAAACCAAAGACAATAGAAAAACTGTACTGAACTTATGAAACCTCTTAATTAAATGTTATCTCTAATATAAACTCAACAAAATATTAATCCAATTCTGTATATAAAAAGTATCGAATATTCGTTTAATAAGATGAAATTTTAATCTTTTGAGAAAAGAAATTTGAAAATAAGTGATACATAAACATGATAAAAGCTTGGGAGTTATGAGAAACAAGATCTCACTTTGTCTAGGAAAGGACTTTTATCCAATCTAGAGAGAGAGAGAGAGAGAGAAGTTTTTTCGTATGATCGTTTTGGAAAGTATGTCAGGGTCGATGAAATCCTTCGGGTTCGACCCAATTGTTCTATTGATTTCACATAGAAATACCCCCATATTCGATTACTCGAAATCCTTTGGGGGTAATTAAGTAGGAAGCAACGGTGCACCCTCGGAAGCTAAATTACCGTTCTCATGGTAAAAATAAAAAAGAAAACGTCCAAACTCTGTGTGGAATGAAAATTCTTTCTCATATTTTGTTTCCTTTTCTTTTTTTTTTCATCTAACATTCGTTTATTCGTTCGTCTGGAAATGTACTTCTCTAGAATAGCGTCGAAAAACGTTTGCATACCTGACTGACCGAGCTACGAGTATAGATGCTGGGCGTGTTCTTCCTATCTTCTGCGCGTGCTCTGGAGACGCATCCTGTGATTCCTGACACATTATACGAACTACCTTTGCGTTTTAATTTAATATCCTTTGGTTTATATTATTCCTATGCTAACTTATTCGCAACATACCGAACAAACATCAAATCCGTCCGAACGTAAAATACTTTTATGTGTGCTCTCGTATTATATTGTCAAAACTCAAGAAGAAACTTTCTTCCTGTTTTTCCTTTTTCCTAATTTATTCGTTATATATACCTGTATTTACCGAGATCAAATTTCTTGAATAAAATATTACGATTAAGTAGATGATGAATGTCACAACTCATTAATCTCGAGGAGATCGAATCTCTCGATTCTACGAGGTTTCCTCTCAAACGTTATGCCTTAATTGCTTTTACCTTCGTTCCCCAAGTGGGATTTCATTGATTCATGCTGCGTACCGATAAGTGCGGTAAACCGAGAAAAACAGTGCTATTTACTTATCTCATACTGCGTATTAACTCGAATATAAATTGCCATTTTTCTCTAAATAATCAAAAAAGAAAAAAATATATATATACATATAGAAACATTTTTGCATGTATCGAAAGAAGAAAACAGAAACGAATAAAAAAGTCTAACAACATTGCGTTTATTGGATAAAAAAAAAAAAAGGATAAAATTAATTCTTGTGTAATCTTCTTAATTAGTGCGTGCACAAAAATTCTGTTAAATAGGGCTTACTCGGTAAGACCACTTGAACAAGTGTAAAAGTGTAAAGAATGTAAGTAAACAAAATATAAAGACATGAAAAAAAAAAAAGAAAAAAGAAGAAGATTATATGAGCTGTGTAATGTGTGCAGTTTAGAGACGCAATCGTCCGTACAGATTGATCCACCAATGTGTAATCGTCGTGAAATGCCCCTTCAAAGGGATTCCCTATAACTACCAGCTTATAGTGGTCTTCCCTTCTTAAATCTTTCGCTACTCGGACTACGTTCTTTTCTTTTTCTCTACTCGTTCAGCTAAACATACAATTTTCACGCCTACGTAATGTTGATTGATCCTATCCAATTATATTTACTAATTAATCTTATTGTTATTATTACTTTCGTTCTAGCAATCATTTTTTTTTGTATGATAAAAGCTTTTATTACTCGATCATAATTTGTTGATTTTATCTTATATTTATCTTTCATCGTGTGTAAAATCATTCGCGATCTAACTATTAAATTCTTTTTTATTCGTGAAATTTTATTTCTGTAATATTCTCGTCAACTTTAATATTATCTATTTAAGAAAATTATGTAACTTGATCATTTTCATACTTGGGATGTTACACTCACGAAAAGAGGAAAATAAGTATTTACTTTGGACACCGTAAGTGGTGATAATGGGTTTGAGGTAAAACACACAGGGAGAGAGAGAGAGAGAGAGAAAGAGAAGAAAACGATTAACGATAGATTTTTCGTTTGAAAATGGGTCAACGAAGAAACGAAATTAGTTTAGAAATGCTTTTATCAACTGTGTACTTATCTACGTATGTATATACAATGCCCCAATGTATGTATGTAATATTTCATTAATTTAAAAGGGGGTACACTACGAGTGTAATTAACGTGAGACCGATGAAGTTATGGTTTATTCCTATATAACCCTGAGATTTAATAAGATATTCTTTCTTGGTTTATCCTCTTCCTCTTCCATTTTAATGGCAAATTAGTTTGACAAACTTTATTCTTCTCTCTCTCTCTCTCTCTTTCTCTCCCTTTCTCTCTCTCTCTCTCTCTCTCTCTCTCTCTCTCTCTCTATTTACTCCATCTTTATCTCTTTCTTTTCTGTTTTTAGTTCTGTTCTTTTGATATACCTACATCGCCGAAGGATAAGTTTCGAAAGAAGAGTTTCCATTTTCAAATGATAAAAGATTTTATAATTATACTTTCTATACACATGCATATCAAACTTTTACACATCTATAATTCTATCTTTTCAATTCCCTCAAAACTCATTTCTCTTTTCAAAACCTCTCGAAACAATGTTTATCTTTATTTTCAACATTTATTAAATCTTTTTACTTTTCACGATATTTTCAATTCAATTATATTTTTTTTTCTCTCTAATAATAAACAAATCTCTTAATGTTACTTATAATTATCTGTTAAAAAGTTCAATCAACAAATGACAAAATTCAAATTACAAATAACTAATATTTACTCGAATTTGAAATAATTAACGACTCGAGGATCTGTCATTGAATTGAAATATTACATAAAACGAATTTATTAAATGATAGATATATTTATACCAAATAATAAATTAGTGAAAATTTTCGTACAAGATATACAAGGTGTTCCCATTTTATTTTTCCGCGTAACATTACTTACTTATTTTTCCTAATAAAAGTAAAAATAAAATATTCTCTCAAAAAACTTTTGTTAAAATGTTATAACAAATATACGATATAAAAATGGAATGAATTTTGTTCGATGTATTATAGTTGATACATATTATACAATTAGATTTATTTATAAGAATGATAGAGTAATGCTCATAAGTTTTTATCTGATATATTTATTATATAACTTTTTTAACAAATCATTATTATTTTATCTTACGTTTATATAACATTTTTCTTTTAATTTTACTCGTAGAATACGTTGTTGACGTTGTTATGCAGAAATAAATAAAGGGACATCGTGCGTACGAAAAAATAATGTTTCAATTCGATTAATTGAATAATCCAAATCAATACCATAATACTTGGTAAATAGGGAAATGCTGAAAACATGGGCTCAAAAATATAAGAACAATATTCATCTTTATTCCCAGAGAAACGGGATTACGCATAAAGTATAATAATCGAATTGTACAACTGGATGTGCGAGGAAAATTATGTTTGAATAATGATGAGAGAAAATCGCAATTTTAGAAAATGTTTATTTTCTTCTGTTATTTTTTGTCAACGCAGAATAATTTGCGCGAATGGTTATGTAAGTATTTAGGTATCAATTGGACAAAGATGCGAGACGCGAGACTGTTTGTAAAATGTTACCACAGTCTATTTATCTTTTTTTTAATGGAACATAAAACAATACCAACCATCGATTTCGCCGATATTATAATACAATTAATATTTAATTGTAATGACATGTGTGTGTGTGTGTGTGTGTGTGTGTAAAGTATGCATGTACAAACGTTTCGTTATAATATTCACAGAATATTTATACGATTACTCTCTCGTTCACATTTTTCGCTAGTTCGCACCGAGAATATTGATCTAAACGCGATCCAACAAATTATCTTCTTTATTATCTTTCATTTTTTGTCTTTCTTTCTTTTGATTGAAATGCGTGAAACACAGTCTATTTTTAACTAACTGAACCGATCGTAATTTTGGATTAATTTAAATTCCTCGTAAGGTAGATCTAACTTTTAGAATCACTAATCTCGCAATTAATATTACAATTGAAATTGGTTAAGATATACAATACAATGAATCGTACAAATCGTATCGATACTATATAGGATATTTACAAACGAGAAAACGACTATAAAAATGAATGTGAAGGGTCTCTGTGAAGGGTCTCTGTAAAAGTTCTTAAGAAAAAAACGATCGGTTCAATTCATTTGGAGAACAGCTAAATTTCATACTAATATTATACAAAATGTTTCGAAATTCGATATTACAAATACGTTTCATACGTGAACACACGAATTCACGTGACATTACATTCGTTCAAAAATTATTTCACACAGGAAAATATTTGTTTTTTAATTTAAATTCACATCATTAAAGTTTTCTCATCAAGCAGAAGCGAAAGATTTCAATATTTTATTTGATTTGAGTTTACTTATAACATGTTACGTATTTCAGATATTCATTCTTTTCCCAAATTTTCTTTGCCGAATATCTTTTAATATGAATCTTAAGAATTTGTAATACGAATTTTAAAACATCTTGTATATATCAATTTATATTCCAAGATTATCAATAACATTAATTGCTTTTAATTGAAATTGCGAATTAACGTGACTCAATTCGAATTCGCTGATGCACATAAATCATCAACAAAGCATCATTTTCTTAATAAGATTGATCGAATAACCAGACTCGAATAATAAAAAGTTCGGCCTCAAAAATCATAATATGAGAAGAAAAAATAAATGTTTATATCAAAAACATAACGTGCACATAGCAATATAAGAAAATCTTAGAAAATCGATGTATAAATGAATGCATACGTGGTATGTATGTAAATGCACGCGAGTTTGGTAACCATTTTGCCGAACGTAGTAGAAGAAGAAGAAAGCTGGCAGATATAAGTAGCGTATTCTTGTTTTTTTTTTTTTTTTTTTTTTTTTTCAAGAAATATAAATTATGTATGAAATTATATCAATTCGATATTCGACACGACGATATTACGAGAACGAGTGATGATACCGATACGATATTCGTCGTCCGACAAATTCCACATATTATTTACTTAGGAATACGATAACGTATTTCTCTACATTAAATATAAATAATTCTATATTTATTATATATAGAGTCTCCTTCATTTTCGATTTTCTTTCTTTTTTTTCCTTTTTTACTTCTTACTATACAACGAATAAAACGACAGACGCGTACCAACTATCATATATTATTTATATATATAATTATTTATTTATTTAATTGTATATATATACAAATAATAGCCCTATCTAATCTCTCGCAGCGAGTGTGTTTGTGTGTGTGTGTGTGTGTGTGTGTGTGTGTGATCACTTCAATAAATAATTATCCTAATATATAATAACATCGTGGTATTTATTTATTTATTTATTATACTAAATCGCAAATATACGCGCGTACGTTCTATGCATTTCAATTTTGTTGTATTTGTTGTTTTTGTTATTTTTCTTTTTCTTTTTCTTTTGTTACTTATTTTTCTTACACATATCGTTTGTATATTCTATTCCACACATAAACCGTACATCAGCACCAATTATAAAGCAGCACCAACTTTATGAGAGAGGAATGATAAGAAACACAAATGGTAAAGATCGATGAAAGAAATTTTGTTCGCACTATTACTATTGTAATACTACTACTACACTACTACTACTACTATTATTTCTATCACTACTATCGAAAGATTACTACTTTATTACTTAACAAAACTCGATGGGATTCTTCGATGTACTTATTTATATAAATATACGATGATATAATTGAACAACAAATAAATTAACAAAATGGTATGTTTGAAGTTAATGGAAAATAAAAAAAAAATCAACGAGTAAGAAAAAATACAATAAAAATGTAATATTTAAATGATAACGTAATAACAGAAGTTATTATTGCAAATACGATTGAATACTAAAACGCGAGCACTTGCATTAGTCACGTTACTCTTTCAATTATATATATATTTTTATAAAATAACTATTTTATTCCTTCTTCTCTTTGTTTTTTTTTTTTTTTTTGGTTTTACCCCAAGGCAAAGGTACTAGAATTTGTCATGCTGCTTTTATCAATATTTGGTTGATTGCTTTGGTACATCTATTTTAATATATTCGGCATCAATTTGTTCTAATACCTAAGCTGCTTGTGCGCACAGTATATTATATTAAATATTAATATCGTAGGAACCTAGAAGAAAGCGACATACGACCCTTATCGCCTATCAAAATAACTCGACGATAGAAATTTATATCCGTTAGGTTAAATTTCTTCTTTTTATTTTATTTCTTTAAGTTAACTAGACTAAATTGTAGTCTCGCTAAAAAATTCAAATCATATAGTTAATATAATAATAATAAGTTATCTCACTTTTTCGTCCTAGATATATTATACCAATCTGATATAATCTCATCTAATTCCAAGCCTATATTTCGTAACAAGTATGTATTCTCATTCCTCAAATTGTAATTGAAGAAATTTGAACACTTAAATCACACAATAATATCGTATCAAAAGATCGAAAAGGAATCATACTGATTTTCATAAAGACTCAATTAAGCATCATTTAAAAATACATGAAAATAAACGAAGCATAAACGTAAGATTAAATAATTCAATTACTTATTCTTAATATTACTTTTTGCATATGACAATACGAAACAATTCAAGGATCATTTTCTTTGACTAGATGATGATCAGATGAAAGAAGAAAGGTTCTAGTGATACGAGTCAATGTTTGCAATTCCAACTAGACGGCATTTCCATACGATACGACGACGACGACGACGACGACGACGACGACGACGACGACGACGACGACGACGACGACGACGTAATTAATACGTATTAATAATTTGACGACAATTCTTGATCATTAAGATCCATGCGTATACGATATGTAATCAGACCATAACGCGCGAATATATAATCTAACATTATTCGAACCTTGGACGAATTAATCACAATTCGTCGTGATTGTTTGATAGTTTTCTTCGTTTTCAAATCCCTTATTTACGATGATGACGAGAGAATCGATCTTCCCACATCAACAAGGATTCAGAATTTTAGAGAATAGGAAAAATTCCGAAAGTTATTTTTTAGATTATTTTAAGAAGAACGTTTAGTTAACGTTCTCAGGTGTTCCTCAAGCGTGTTTTTTTCGATCTTTCTTGTTCACGCCAAGAACTAGTCGTACAAACACCTTCGCCCCTCCACCATTCGTTAACGTCCTTATAAAATTTGGCAGGACGATCGTCGTGCAACATGGCGCATACTCGACACCAAAAAAATGTGTTAATAAATTCTCCCGTGCCTTTCCATCGAAAATACGAATTGTAAAGTTCGTCGTCGTTATCCAAACGATGAAGATAAGTTGCCAATTCTTTTGGCGATTCGAATTCGTCCACGTGGATGTAGGATCTGTAGGGTGCACTTCGTGCATAATCGCTTGGATGTGCTCCCATCACGATTGGTAAAACATTGTGCCTGAAATTATTCATTTTAATAAACTTATGTTAGTTCTTTAATATATATCTATGTATAATGAATTCTGGTTAAAGTTTTTACTTCCGAGATCTTTCTCTCAAATATATATTATACAGAGAATAGATTATTTTATTGAAAAATGTTCATAACAAATTCCATACCCAAGCCCGTTCACGAAGAACTTTTCTGTTATATAGTCCTTGCAATTGGAATTCTCAAATGCGAGATAAAATTTGTAGTCCTCATCTAACATGTCGAAACAAGTTTGCGACTGTGAACGAGGACAACGTAATGTACCGCAGGCACCGTAAATGTCTACTTGAATGTACTTGGACAGTTCCTTGGCATAATGCATACGTTGATTTCGTGGATGACAGTTGGAAACAAACCAGGCGACCTTATTGCAAATATATACAAGAAAAATATTCAGATATGAAGAAGAAACAAGATAGCAGCAAGTTTCCAGAACAAAAAGTTCCTGACAATTTTGTAAAAAGAATAAATAATACCTACCTTTTTTGTTTTATTAGCAGAGTAATTAAAAGTTTGAGATATTTGTTTGACACTAGAATCGTAATATTGCCACCTTTCGTAGGGTGCAACTATGTCACTGTCACGACGATAAGTCGCCGTCCAATTGATTAGAGCATTTTTCACGCTTTGCGTGTGATAAGGACATTCTAAAAAATACAGCATCCAAACCTAACAACAAACAACAATTCTATTACGATGAGAAAAATAATCTTGCAAATATTAATATACAATATATCCAACATGTAGGAATATCCTACAAACCTGATTACGGGGTCTTCGTCCCACATATGTTACATAATCTTTGAATAAAATTAAATCAGCCTCATTTGGATTGTCACGAACGATGGTACACGTGTTAACAGGACAACGATGTTGAACGAAAATATCTGAACCAACTTTGGCCTCTCCCATACCATGAGGTACCATAATTTTTTTAAATCTATGCTCTTCTGTTCGATTGTAATCAGGCGGCAAAAACATCAACTAAAAGAATAATCAAATGAAAATATGCAAGATGAATAATACAGGATGATATCTTAAAAATCATCAATCAACTGAAAGAAATTCATTTCCAACAAAGAAATATCTTCTCTTACCCTCTAATATGTAATATTGTACCTTATTGTACCTTAACACACACACAAATATAAAATATAAAGCTTTTTCTTGTTGGAAATGATCTCCCCCTAAGACCTTATTTTTGTGCAATCCATAATAACTTTTGGAATATTTGGTATTCAAATTATTGAAATTTGTTTTGACGATAAAAATGACATACTTGATTAGTCACACGGTCATCGTAAGTATCCTCTTCAGGCCACAAACGTGCTAATCTTCGGCCAGTATGACGAGATTTGATAGCCGGATATGGTCTTCTTGTTCCACCTTTCATATACCACGGTCTTCTCGATGGAGCCAGAGAAACTACCGAATTTTCCGACAAGATCGTCGTCCCAGTCGAATTCAGCTGTTTTTGTTTTATAAAGAAACAAATAACATCACAAACAAGGAAACGCGATACAATCATTTTTATATATACATGTAAATACATATTATTATACATAAAACTTCGGCTAATCTTCTTCTGAAGATTTTTTCCAATGAAATCAAAAAAGAGAATAATAATCAAAATCAATAAATCAATAAAAGAAACCTCAATCTAAAACGCTTTCTATAAATAATATTCTATTATTAATGCAAAGTTCATTTCTATCAAGCTTTTATCTTCTCGCGAAACAATTGACTATAATTCATATAATTAACTTGAGTGACAACAATGATTTGCAATACTTGACAAATTATTTTCCACGTTCTTTCAATATTATTTTATCGACATAATCTAAAGCGTGGTATGTTCACGTGACACACGAAAGCTTTGGTCGTTTGGTCGATGTAATTGAGTGATAAATTTTACAGGCATTCAAAAGACAAAAAAGAAACAAAAAAAGAACAAAAGGAACTGAAACTTTCAAATGATAATATTTATTAACGTGAAAAATGCTACGTGAAAAATACTACGTTCAAGAATATAAAAAAGTAATCGGTGAATAAGCTCTAAACTAATAAACTTTGCATTTTCAAGTAGAACTCCGATCTTTGTGAGATCGTATGCGTGTGCACTGGCATACTGAATGGACAGAGTGTGGCATTTAAATCGGAATACTTAAATATAACATCCCCGTTTTTTATGGTTTTATGAAAGGAGTCTTAAGGTCAAAGAAATTAATGATATCATAAAGCCCAAAAATGCATAATTATTATAATCAATTTCTTGCTTTTTCGTAAAGCATATAAAAAGAATGTTATTATACACTAAAACACTAGTAGTTTTAAGAAATAACAAAGTTATATATGAATTCACAAGAGACAAGTATTTAATGTATGAAATTGAAATTATCTTTAAAGTTTGCTTTTCTTTCTGGTAATGCCAACATTAAAATAAATGCCTCACCCTATATGCATGTATAGCATCTCGATGCATATATTACAATATATATTTAGATGTAATTTATATATAGCCTATGGAAAATTATACCTAATTATCTATATATATTATCTTTCAACTTGCTATTATATTTAATGATTTACAAAACGGTATGCGTAAGTAGAATATATATGTTTAGAATCGTTTATCGAAGAATAGGTAAGCGCAACAAGGAAAAAAACTAAGCTTCGTAATTCGAATACATATTCGTCGTACCAAGATGATAAGAAGACATACACACAACACACGCATACACATATTCCAAGAAAATATGTGTGTGTATGGATAGAAAGAGAGGGAGATTAAGTAATGTATGTGTGTATGCATTGAAGCGAAGCCCGATTAGACAACAGTAAAAAGCCACTAATCGCTACTTTAACTACTTATGCGATATTTTGCTGCAAAAAATAGGAGAGGCAGATACATATATGTAAGTAACGTCGAAAAGGCAAGTTAATTGTTTCTCTTTCGCACGTTTTATAATATTCAACCTTGCGATCTATTTTAACTAAATATACCTCGTTATTTACGTCTTTTCTCTTGATCGTCTCTCGAATCGTTTGCATTATCCGTATCGTCGACTTCTTCGATTTCAAAGGCCAATCATGTTTCATCTGCGACTAAAATTTACCGCTTTAAAAAGTGCTAACACGTTTAACCATTCAATACTCATTGCTTTTTTTTTTTTGCCTACATTTAAATATACATAAAAATACACACATAATATCATATAACTCAAAATAATTTTTTTATTATAAAATTAAATTCATTTTCATTCATTTTGTGTATACACTTCCCTGCCCTCTTATTTAAAACGCATCATTTTGAAATAAAATAATTACATTATTATAAGTATACCAATCTAAAATAAAAAAAAATAAATATTACATAATTTCTTTCTCTTTTTTTTATTGTTTTTCTTTTTTTCCTTCTCTTTTTTCATTCCTTTGTTGTTTTCAACGCGATCGCGTTTAATAAATGCAGCGAGATTCGGTGATGCATCGTAAAGCGAAAGATAACATTTTCTAGTTTGGACAAACAATTGTTTCATGGAACGATAATAATCGTCGTTTCATAATGCGGAAGAAAAAAATCACACGGGATGGTACCAAAGAGAGTTTACGCTTGAAAAGTATCAAACTGTAAAATAGAAGGCGCGAAATATGTGGAGAAAGAGAAGAAAGAGAGAAAGTGATAAAGTAAAAGATATATATATATATATATATATATAGAGAGAGAGAGAGAGAGAGAGAGAGACAGAATATATCACAATGTGCAAAGCTTTCGTACACCTGATAATATCGATCCATAGTCGTCTTTTAAGGAACACTAAAGAGTTCGTAGGCCGATCGATATTATCGTGCAGCGTTTGGGACTGCGCAATCTTATTGATTACACACACATACATATACACAGAGAGAAAGTATCTACAGTTAGTGTTAAGAAAAAAAAAAAAAAAAAAAAAAAATTAAAAAAAAAAAAAAAAAAATCGATCGAACCGATGAGCTTATTAGAAATCAATATTCATCTACCTATGGATTGGATTTTAAAAGCAATGACGGAATTTTGATTGATTTGTANAAAAAAAAAAAAAAAAAAAAAATATTGAAAAGAAAATAGAAAATCGATCGAACCGATGAGCTTATTAGAAATCAATATTCATCTACCTATGGATTGGATTTTAAAAGCAATGACGGAATTTTGATTGATTTGTATTTTAATAAATAAGGGTGATATTTTATTATCCCTAACTCTATTATAATTATTTTTTATTATGTTCAATATTTGCTACCTTATATATCTTTATAAAAATGAACACTACGTATCGTATTTTTTATAGCGAAAATTTCAACATACCTTATCGGACAGTTAAAGTTTTTTTCATTATTATTATTTGTATTATCGATTTTTAATAAAAACAAATCGAAATAATTCTATAAATATGTAATACCTTGGTCGTGTCTCCAAGTACGCGAAGAGATTGCACTTGCACTTGAACTGGATCTGATCTCATCGCATGCCAGATCTCCTTTTGACGTACGTTCATAAGGACCAGCAACATCCCCGTCAAACAAAACACGTAAAGGAAGCATCTCTTCAACGACAAACGCGGCAGACCCATACCGTCAGTCTCCTACTCAAGAAAATGAAATTCTTTTTCTTCTACCTTCTCCTTGACTCCTTCTGTTTCTTGTGTGACGACATTCGGCCGAGCTAAAGCATTCAAAAAAAAAAAAAACAGTCATATCTACTTTTTATTTTCGCTTTGTTAATGACTTGTGAGAAAAAATATCTGGTTATAATATGCAGTGCATTCATTTTGGCAGTGAAAATAAATAACGCACATTCTATTGATATAGAATTCTAATGAAGTGGAAAAGAGTAAAGATTTTTTTATACGATCCTAAATGTGTCGTCTTTTTAAACAGAAATATATTGGGGCTTGTTTCAGACTGTTCTTTATATCGACATAATACGTCGATAATACTTCCTACATTATCACAAAGTAAGCTTCTTCTAACGATAATCAACTTAATCTTATTATATTACATCTTATATACTTCTTTTTTATTTATTAAATGAGGCATTTTTCGTGCAGGTCCATACGTTCATTCATCTATCTTTATTTATAGCGATACCCAATTAACATCCAATTATCATCCAATTATCATCTAATTATGATCAACATCGTGCGCTTAACAAACCAGCTATCTTTTTAATCGAATCGACTACAATTATCCATTCTAATCAATTGTATCATAATAACAAACTTATTACGAAAGCAATAAATACCTATTGCACTTATGTTTTCTATCATAGATAAATACATTATTAATAAAAGATAAACTCGGTAAACATAGACAAGTGTCTCGAATATTATTATAATAGTTTGAAACAAGAAATACGTACTATCGCTTACTTTTCATTATTACAGCAAAATCTTGTTATTAAATTAACTATTACAATATTCGAAAATGCAAATTATTCCACAAAATACTTTAATAAATTTCAATAAAAACAAGCTAGCTGTTGTACAAATTTTTAATCGAGATAATCGCGAGCTTACTCGACTTGCATTATCTAACGGAGAATAAAGAAAAAAGTATCAGAACGTATCAAAAGCTTTTCCACCATAAAATAACTCAGTAACTTACTATTTTATCATTGTTTTGATAAAAATATTCATAACTAAGAACGTAAGACTTAAACCAAGCCCTGAGTTATCAGTTTTGTTTTCTTCTTATAAATAAAACAAAATAAATGATTAATAATGTTGGAATGTTTCCTGATTAGTGCTGAATTTACACTTATCGAGAATCTATGCGAAACATCATTACGAGGTCTTGAAAATTTCAAAAGAATAAATGTCTACTTCAGTTGATCAAATGCATAGGTATATTTTTATATTATTGCTAATGAAAAGTAAATAACATTTTTAAATGTAAGAGAGAGAGAGAGAGAGAGATAGGGAGAGAGAGTAAGAATATTAGAGTACCCCAAAATTTGTAATTAGAATTAAATCGAAAAAGAATATGTATGAAATAACAATTAGTAACATGTGAATTCTAACGAAGTAGGTAAACTTGAATGAATTTACGTCTAATTCGAGACTAGAGTCTGCATATACTACCTTCTATGAACCACTTTGAAATGTATATCTAATATGTAGATAGAGCACAAGTACGAAGGGGTACTTGGCACCAACAACAAGAATACCTTCTACGTCGAACAAGTAGTGGAAGTGCTTAGATAACATTGAATCGAGCTTTTCAGAATCTATTTTTTCTTCAATTACTAATAAAAAAAAAAACAAAAAAATCAGGTATAGGAACGCATTTTTATGGTTGACCAAATTACATTAGCATATGATTTTATCAGTGAAAGAACTACGATTCCGAAGCCATGATTTAAACGCCCACCATTGAACTATCTCTTTTCTTTCTCTCTCTCTCTCACTCTATCTATCTCTGTCATTATCTATACCAATTTGTAATATTAGATAATATGTGGTAGTAAAAGAAAATATGAATGTTTCTATATACATGGTGGCTCGCAAAGAAAGATCATTTATTTTGAATATAATTTCTGATATGATGTTGAATATAGAAAACATATTTATAAACTCCTATACAATTAAATACAACACGCAGTGTGTATCGCGTCAGCTGTGATAAACCCATTAATTAGCTGTTCAAGTCCCCATATCAAACCCCTTGAATTATTTATTGCCTATAGGGTTGGATGAAAGATCTGGTTTATCAAAGAAAGGTGGAGACAAGAGAAGCATTAATCGAGAACATATTTTGAATACCACATACAAGCTCGAGTAATTACATGAATTATTGTTGAGAACACTAGATATATGTATTACATCTGTATCTGTGAATATATCAACTAGAAGTTTATCGATTATCTGTTTCTGAATTGAAGTTATTAAAATGGAATCTTAGAGCTATTTCGATGGAATCCAAAACCCATTAACCATTCAAAAACAAATCCACGTTCATGAACTTTACGATTCAAAATAATTTCAAATATCATATACCAAATTCATGACATTTATTTCTCTATATTGGATTGTAGAAATGAATACATACGACACGGTGGAATACATTGCGTGTATACTTAACGAATAATTCCGAATAATGTTTATGGGAATCTTTTTTTTATATATGTATAGAAATTTAAATTATCTTTTCATAGTCTCTTTCTCTAGTCTCGACACGGTCAGTGCTTGCATTGTTATTCTCCTGGACGGATAGTCGCATAATAAAAAAATATGTGTCAATGCGTTACAGTACTGCATTCTAATTTGTAATGCTAATTTCATTTGCAACGTGATACAAAAAATAAAACAAAATAAAATAAAAAATAGAAAAAATTAAAGAAGAAAAAAATGAATAGCAGGGCTAAATATTAAGCACAAATAGAAAGGAGTCGTATAAGGAGAAATTGGAGTCACGCTTAAGTTTATATGAGTAGAAGTCCTCCGGTAAATTAATTAGCCACGCCAATTTTCGACTTGGAAATACGTACAACAAAGCAGAAGAAAATCGCGTTTAAACGAGGTCGAACGATATAAGAATGAAAGAATGAAATAAAGGAAGAACAAGTGAAAAAAGTAAAATCTTTTAATAGAAATAATGTAAATATATAATATTTATCGATCATTTGTAGATTACGATTTGATTTGTAGATTATCGAAACGTCAGATCTTGTTCATCGTGTTACCAAAGCACGTCTTCCAATCTTCATTCCCTTGCATGTAAAATGATTCAAAACTACTATTCACATTTGTTTATACCACTACATATATATATATAAATATATATATGTATGTAAGCGATCTCAACAGCATAACCTCTGGAAATAATTATAAATGCGATTTTGTCGAAAGACTTCGCATAACTGGAATTAAATATTTTGGCAATGTTACTTTTTAACGTCGACTCGAAAATAATTAAATCTAATAGAAAATCGAAAACAATCATGAAAACTTTACAAATTTTATTGGCAGAAGATCGTGTTTTTTCTTTTTTTTTGTTTTTTTTTTTTTCTAAATAGATGCAATAACCAATATCGAAATTTCAAAAACTACGTCGATAAGTTTACTCGAGCGTGATCTTACCGCGTTGGGATCTGAAAAAATGTGAAAGTTCAAAGTTCAGAGGTAAATTTAAAATTCGATTTGTGCCAAGAGAACAAACTTGGCAAGAGTGAATCGCGTGATAACTCATTTGCTCTCTAGACGATAATATTCTTCTTGCACGTAATCCACCAAGGAACATAAAACGCGCAAAAACACGTATGTATATAAGTATATTATATACTTATACATTAATGCACGCGCGTGCCTAACACTACTGTGTGAACACGCTACCTTAGAGATATCTACATCTAATCTTACGCGAGCAAGTACTATGTATAATGTATACATATATCTATATATCACAAGTGATCACAAAAACTTGTTCTTCCTCCTAAGATTTTTTCAAGAAAATTATATGCCTCCCATTCTATATACTAATTAAAAAGTTTCCTCCTTGCATGTTATGAATCGTTACAATTACAACTGCGTATTTTGAAATCTATATTCTATTTGGAATGCAGTAATAAAAAATATGTAGTTATAAAATCGGTCTTTGCCTAAATTAAATTATTTTTAATTAATTAATTTTTAAAGAAAAACAAAATAAAGTCTATTGTCAAATTTCGTAAAATACATTAGAAACAAAAGGACATAGAAATATAACAATAAAACGTTCGATGAATGCATCGTTAGATAGAAAAGGAAAAATGACGACAGATAGTAGGAAATAAAGAAAGAAATAAATAAATAAATAAAGAAAGAAAGAAAGAAAAATAGATAGCTAGATAGATAGATTAGACCGAATAAAAAGAGAGAAAAAGGTATGATAAAAGGCTTATAAGGAAAAGACAGAAAATGACGTAAGAGATTTAGTTAGGTGATAGAAAATATTAATGATGATCGATCGATCGAGAGGAAGAAAGAAAAAAGTTAGAAGGATATACATAATATGATAACGAATCCAAAGCATAGACAGATGAAACATATATGTATAACGTGTCTCATACATACCATAAAGTAAACCTCCTCGATACGAGGCTCGTTCACCACCACGTGGTCGACCGCGGTAAAGAACGGCGATAACGACAACGACAACGAAAACGACGATGATGATGATGATGATGATGATGATGATGATGATGATGATGACAATGACGACGACGACGACGACGACGACGACGACGACGACGACGACGACGTCGTCGAAAGACGCGTAAGTCCTCAAGATATTGCAGGACGATGTCAGACGTCGTTCGACGAAACGTCGTCGAACACCGTCGCGTCACATGTCGAAAAGAAATAGGTGGGGGAAAAAAGAGAAGACGCGTTCAACCAACCCCTTAGAGTTCGACTATACGATATTTTTCTTACAAGAGCGCTAGCCAGAGCGCTAGCCAGAGCGCTTATGCGCGCTCGAGACAACTCGCTGTCGTCTCTTTCTCTCTCTCTCTCTCTCCTCTCTCTCTCTCTCTCTCTCTCTCTCTCTCTCTCTCTCTCTCTCTGGCAAAAACTCGCGCGCGTAACAAACTGCAGAACTAACGTCTAGCTTCTAGACGAGCGACCCAGCCCGTTGCTTCTGCCCTTTTCGATAGATTCTCTACCTCCACCTCCAACTATCACCCTCCCTTCCTCCTCCTTCTCCTACATCAAATCTACCCCTCACCACATCCCTCATCACCTATCACATTATCCCTCCATCCCTCTGCATCCCTCTCCATCAACCCCATCAACCTCCTATATTGCCTTTACCAGGTTCCACTTCGTAGAGGATGGCGGCGAGGGGAAAATCCATAAGAGTCGCGTCTGCGCCCTCCGACGCATTCTCATTGCTCTTTCTCTTTTTTACGATCTAGATCCTTTCCTTTGTCCTCTCTCTCACTCACTTTTGTTTTCTTGTCTTCCTGACTTCTTCCTCTGTGCATAACCGAACTCGATTTTGAACAATTTTATTTCGCGCCAAATATTATTTCCTCTTCTTTTTTTATATTCTTATTACCTGTGTATTATCGAAAGAAATCAATGGAGAATTAATACGGTGTCTTACGATTTATATGCACAATCTTTTCTATTTATTATCTAATTTAACCGCTGCATTTATCGTTTTGTTTTTTTATTTTTTCATATATGTAGTAGTACTATATTTCAAAATCCTTATTAGTAGAAGGTTCACTAATGAAGTGAGACAAAAAGTAACTTTATCCGTTATGCGCAAGCGTTTAAATATGAATTTAAATGATGCAGCAAAATAAGAAAAATCATAGAAATAATTTGTAAATGATAAATAAATAATTGTAAAAATTCTTCTCTGTTTTTTATGTTTTCCAATTACACGAATAATATAATCTATTCATCTTCATAAAAAGAAAAAACTTACAAAATATTTTAATGATAAAATACAAAAATTATCTTTAATTCTTAAAAATATTTAAAATTAATACATTTTTTAACTTTTAAATAGTATGTTTTGATGTCAAAGTTAATGTCCGCTTTATTTTATTTAAAAAAAACTTATGACGCGTGCGCATAAAGAATAAAATATTCTTCCAGAAAGAGAAAATAATATCATCTGCAATGCGTTTTCAATCTTGTTTTTGGTTCAATTATACAGTACTATTACATATATGATTTTCCCAACAATTATTACAATAAAGTTTTATGATTATCTATTTTAAAAATGTTAGTACAAACGTGATTGCATAAAGCATACAATTTTCAATTAATTAGAACTTTAATTTTTTTCAAAATATTTTGCGATAAATTGAAATTAATGCTATTTTTGCTCTAATAAAAACACGATGATATAATGAATGAATACTTACAACATATACATTACAATATATTATATTACAAATACAATATTACATACTTACATAATTTACATTTCTTCCATAATTAAGGATCATAAATAATCATCTCTATCTCTCTACAAAAACACGTTTTGTTTTTTTAAAAAGATGCGACTTTGAATACAATATTTATTTAATATTTGTACAAGTTTTAATTCTTTGATGATTCAAACGTGAGCGCCATTACTGCGCTTAGTACTATGCCTCATTCACAATACGCATAAAATCTAAAGTTTCGTTCATATGGTACTGACAGTCAAAAGGTTTCTATGGTGTACTATGATTCGATACTATTGCGTAAGTATTACGCGTATAGTGAAACGTCAAATGCATGAACGTAGTCTTAACAGACACGTGGTTTTCTGAACGCAATTGTAAATTTTGAGTGCACTAATTACTGAGAAAACTCTTTAAAAAAAGATAGTGCATAGTATTCGATAAGGTCTATTATTCGTTTCTTTAATTTCACAAGATGAAATATCTATGGACAATAATTTCTAATAATTGTATTTAAAAGTAAATGGAAAAAAAAATGATATATAATAAAATAAACATTTATAATGAAAATCTTGATAAATATATAATGTATTTAATAAAATATAACAATGTGCATGTATTATTTAATGAGACTAAACGTGCGCTGTGGAAACCGTCTTAATGACGCATCGTAAAATAACTTCAATTGATTTTGTTCATAGTTTATCAATCTCTGTTACGTCAACTATTACGATTAACTTATATTTATGTTTAGTGCTTGATACATTTTTTACTTACAAATTCTTCATTATACTAGCTTGATATTAATCATACTTTAACGGTAGTGATCTCACAGGGAAAGGAAATCGTTTCGCAATGGGTAATTACAAATTTTCTTTAACAATATTTTTTTATTTTTATTCCATTATTGTCAGTATTGACATTTCTATACTGTCATCGAAGAGAAAATAACATATCTTATTGTTGGCAAATAAATTCATTCAAAAACCATTTCTTTATTTAAAATTTGAAGGTCTCATACATTTGAAATATTTAGCACATTTCAAATATAATTTTTTATCATAACCTAACAGTATTTTATTTCTTAGAAACTTCAGAAGCAGTTGTGATAGGAGGAGAGGATTACAAAGTTGTTGACGAATGTTTGGAAGAAGAAGACTCGTTAAATACTCATAATCATTTAAATCAAATGGAAAATTTGGAAGAAAACGACACTCAAAACTCTATTAGAATAGAAATATCTAATAATGATATATTTAAAGAAACACAAATGGATATAAAAGAGAACATAGAAATAGAAATAGTACATGATGTTGTTTCTGATACCAAAGAAAAAGATAAAAAAAGTTGTATTTCAAATACAGAAACAATAGAAGCAAAACCAGAAGCAAAACCAGAAGCAAAACCAGAAGCAAAACCAGAAGCAAAACCAGAAGTAACACTAGAAGTAACAGCAGAAGTAAAATCAGAAGAGAATAAGAATCCTATTGATTTAATCGCAGATATTACTTCAGATAAATTAAACGAACAGAATAATTTAATATATGAAGATGTTATTCATCATCTTGACGAAATAGAAAGTATAGTATTAAATTCTACATGCTTTATTGATTCAAATAAAAACAAGCAATCTAAAACAGAAAATTTATCTGAAAATATTGTTAGATCTATAAATTTAAATCTAAATAAACAATCTAAATTAGAAAGTTTATCAGAAAATATTACTGAATCTATAGATTCTAATGAAAAAAAGCAATCTGAAGCAGAAAATTTATCTGAAAATATTGTCAGTGAAGATCAAGAAGAAATTACAAAAGCAAGTATCGTGCTTATAGATATTTCATCCCCTAACATAAAAACAGAATTACCCATAAAAACAGAATTATCTATAAAAACAGAAACACATTGGTATGAAAAGAAGGTAAAGGGTTTTATTTTTTTTTTTAGCATATATTTAATTCCTTATTGTACTATTGCTCCTATCACTTTATGTCGACTACTTACAGCTAACAGAAAAATTAGATACTATTAAGGAACGAATGTCAAAATTAGCGCGTGTTTTAGAAAACTCTTATCCAGTTTATAAAACATGGTTAAACTACACAGAAAAAGTTTATGGATCACCTATATGTAAACTAGAACCACCACGTCGCTGGCCATTAGATAAACATCACACTAATCGTTGGAAATTTAATTGTAAGTATACCAATAGTATACCAATAGTATATCAATACTGTTACATTAGGCAAAGTTGTTTATATACAGGGTGTCTGAGGTTTTTTTATTTCTTGCATGACAAACTGTTTAAATGTGTTGCTAAAAGACGATGTTTAGCAGTTCTGCATATGTTTTTTACTATCTTGGAGTGATTCAATGTATTCTTCTCTGAACGTACATTTAGATAATTTTACAATTTATTTTAATAAAGCTTTAAATTATTTTGTGAGCGTAGAGTATGCTCATAACATCTATATGAAAAAACCTCAGACTATCTATAAAATTGCTAAAAGGAATAGTTCACATTAATATACATATACATATACATATGCATATGCATATGCGTAATGTTAATACATTGATCGTCTATGCTCTTCACCTTCGATTGAGCATAGCAGTTAAGTGAAAGAACAGTGAATAATCAATGTGTTAATGATTTAAATGCGTTCAACAAGGCTTTTCTCTATACATTTGCGAAAAATGAAAATAGATGGGCTTGTGTCCGGAGAATAATCTCTGCTGACACTGTTTTGAATTTCAATGGAACGAAAAATTCCTTGAAAACATATATGACTAATTCATAGTAATAAACTATGAGTTTATGAATCTAAAAACATGTCGACACTTGCCCCATCTTTTAAGTGCATAACTTAAGAAAAGTGTTATACTTGTGTGGTTAAAGCATAAATCCATAAAGTATATTGTGATAACAATACATACATAAATGTGATTAATAAAGTGATAAGCTTCACATCAGTACTACACATTTTTCATTATCTCCATATTCATACTCATTGTATACGTATATTTTCCTTTGTATATGCTAAACAGACTATTTATCTGTAGCATTGAAAATCTGTGTACGGTAACAAATTGATAAGGGTATCATTTGTTCAAATATATTGGACAAACAGTTGTTATGTAAAGTAAAAAATTATCAAACTAAATTAAATGATTATATTTTTACTTAAAATGTTTATAAATTAGTTTGTAAACTTTTATATAAATTAGATTTTTTTTTTCTCTCTCACAAGCATACATCGCTCTGCCTATGTTTATTATAATACAATAATAAATCTTCAATAAATCAGTAAATAAATATTATTTCATTTAGAAGATAGTGTTTAATATTTATATTTTCCATTTTTTACTCATTTTATTTTGAAATACAATAATAATAAGTCTGTCTAGTTACGGATTCCATTGAGAAAATTGGAATATGACAAATATAGTGTAATGAATTTTTTAGTATTCCAATGATAAAAATAACCTGGCATGTTTAGGCAGCAGAATAAGTGTGGAGGTATCAAAGAAGGGGGATGCATCTCTTCACAGTAAGGAAAAAGTGTGGCGGGTGGAACCAGCTGGAGCATGGGGTGTTAGTAAACATACCATCCCTGAGATTCCGCCTTTTGTATTACGCGCAGTCAAGGTATATTTAATTTTGCTACGTAAATGCAATTCGGCACGTTTAACTTCTGAAAGTTAAGCATATACATAATTGTGTATTTAAAAAGAGTGAGCATTCTTGATAAAGTCCATATTAGCGCATGGACATTTCCTGCATAATGCTTAAAGTCAAGTAATCCTTTTATAAGGACAAAGATTTTTTGTGCAATAAAGCGAATAATTGATGTTGCCAAACATTTTCTACAATGAATAAAATAATCATTAAGAATAAAAACAAATTTAATGACGATAAGTTATTAATTGTTCATGAAATTAAAGTACATGTATGGTCATTCAATTAATTAAATAAAAAATTACTTTATAATTGGCAACGCATGAAACACGAAATATAATGAATGAATAAGAAAGAAAATATAAGAGATACGTTGTTTTGCTTCGTCAAGAGCAGACAAGAAACACACTGTATAGAATTACAATTCCTGGATATTATAAAGAATCTTTAAAGGAATCTTATAAAGAAATTAAATTCAACGTCAAGAAGTATCAACAAGGAAGAAGATTATTATGCAACAAATGCAGCTGCATGCAAAGTGTGTAACAATATTACGATTCTAATATTGTTACTATTGTTGTAATAAGGGGTACTTTCATTAAAGCACTTCTTTTATTACATTAAACACATGAAACGCAATAAATAATAATTGCGTCAAAAGAGCTTTGTAATTAAGAAAAATATACAATATCATAGCTCTTTCCTGTTACCTGAATTAAAGAAATGAAATAAAAATAAAATATGGATGTGAATCGTGCTGTAAGAAGAGGAACTCATCCGCAAAATTAACTCTCGATTAAGAAGAATATTTTACAAAACTCATAAATGAAGAACCTCGAATAAGAATTTTGTCTCCTAGAATTTGTGAAAAGAAAGCAAATATTATAAGAAAATAATGAAATTTTAATTGCTGTTATACATAAAATATCAAAAAAATTACAAAATCTAAATATCTTAATTTATTAAATTAAATTCATACTGTTTAATATATATTAGAGGAGATTTATGAGCTGTGTGTGTGCGTGTTTTATAATCTTGCAAAATAATGGATTATTTTATAAATACCAATTGTTAAGCTATATCACAATACAATTATATAGCACTATTGTTTTTAACAATTTATGTTTTATTATATAGATATTCGAAGACTTTCTTCAATCTGTACAACAGGCAGATGAAGCTCTTCTCTCAGAACAATTCTCTAGCGACACATGCATAGAAATTGATCAGAAAAACGAAACAAAGCCACGATGGCTTTGGCTCATAGTAAGATGTAATAGCTTAGAGGAAATTATGTTATTTGTAACCGGAAAAAATATTAGTCGGAGTACCATGGATCATTTGAAACAAGTATATGAATCTGGACCCGGAAAAGGTTGCAATGTTAAATCTATCTATTGTGAATCTATATATAATAAGTAAGAATTTTATATACTATGTATATTTTTACTGAAATTGTACTCAATGTAAGTTTCTTTTTAAAAGCATATACTTAAAATTATTATATTTTAGATCTAATGATATGGTTGCCTCGAATACAACATTTTTGGTAGGATCGGAAGTTTTAGATGAAGTTGTCGGAGGTATAAAAGTACAATTAGCTCCAAAAACAAATTTTTGGTCTAACCCCGTAGGTGCAGAAAACGTAGCAAAAACTGTAATAGAGTTATTAGCACCTTCGTCGAGAACAACAGTTCTTGAAGTTGGATGTGGATTTGGTCTGATTGGATTAATGGTGGCATCTGTATGTATTTGGAATTAATCTTTCTATAAACATATGTAAATGGTATCTCTTATTTTATTTCTTTACAGAAATGTCGAAAAATTATAGGAGTTGATTCAAGATCAGAAATTGAAGAAGCAGAAATGACATGCGAATTGAATAATATAAGTAATGCTTCTTTTGTAGTGGGTTCTTCATCTGAAGTTACGAATGTAATAGCTGATGTATTAAGAAATTGCAAAGCTTCTGCCATCATCAATACAAGTACCAATGTTGGACGAGGTGTGTAGATTTGACCTGTGTAGATTTTTTAAACAATATATATTGCGTTCTCAAATTCATAAAATATTCTTAATAACAATTGAATACTATATTATCACACACACACACACACTATATTTAATACTATATTTGTGCATTTATAGCAATCGACCTTATGATATGTCTAAGAAAAATTATTTCGCTGAAGCGATTAGTAATGATAACAACCTTGACAAAACAATCTGTACGTGCTATAATAGAATTGGTTAGACCTGGTAATCGAAACATGGGAAATCCATTTATACCTGTAAAAGCATATCTAGTCGATACATTACCAATTGGACCACATTTTGAAATAGTAATTTTAATGGAGCGACATCTTATGTTTAATCAACCATTGTTTTTTGGAGCATTACAAGAAACAAGTTCCAGCAACAATGCTGATAGTTCTAAAAAACAACCAATTGAACCAGCAGCTTCTACATTTAATAACAAAAAAGTAAACCAAAAAACAATTATTGATAAAAAGACAGGATTTATTCGTTCTAAAGCGAAATCTAAGGGAAAACGTGTTCATTCGCCGGAAAGGAATGAAGGTCCAGCAAAAAAATTCGCCAGAAAGTTTGATAAAATTGTTTTTAAGCCACGCAGAGGTGGTAAGTATTTAAATCATAATGTGTAAATGTCTAAATGTATAAATTATAAATTAACGTAATTTATTATATATTACTAGATTGGTCAAGAAGAAAGAATAAAGTAGAGGAAGGTTCTGAACTTCGTATTAATCCTATGTATGAAAAAAAAGTACGAGAAAACAATGATCGAATAGATCTACGAGAAAAGTTGTCCAATAATCGCATTGATCCTGAAATTGTAAATAAAGTAAAAGAACAGCAAGTGATCTTAGATATAGCGAAAGAAAAATTAAGTGGATCTTCTGCTGCGGTAGATGTAACAACTGCTAAACAATTACAAGATATGTTGAATATGGTTCTTGAACAAACGAATAAACTTCAGAGTCAACTACCACGTTCAGTTTGGGATCGTATTGCTCCGCCTGAAACAACTGGACATTCAACCGACAAAAAAGATAATCAATCTGATCCATTACTTAAGGGTCGTTATATACAAGAAATAGGAACGAAAGACATTTTAATAACCAAGGAAAATAAACAATTTCTAGAAAATGATGAAGAAAAAGTAATAAATCCAATGTATAAAAAATATGGAAATATAAAACCAATAGAACCAACATTGTTAATGCCTATGACCAATGATACACCTATATTGAACATATCTTTACAAAAATCATCATCAGAGCGTTATCATGGATCAGATTTTCGTAAACATCATTTTGAAGAAATCTCTTGGAATAAAAACAAAGATTTTGACAAAACTTGTTGGAGTGAATCTAGCAGTACAAGGAAACAGACACCGTCACCTATGAGAAAGCATATATCTCCTTTAAGACATCGCTTATCTCCTTCAAGACGATTTTCACCAAAACTTCCACTCTCATCTCCTCCAAGACGGCCACTTTCTCCTCCTAGAAAACATATGTCTCCTCTTAGACGTCCAATGTCTCCCTTCAAATCGCGTAATACTTTAATAGATCGTCCTTATTCTTCGTCAAATCGTTCAGTATCAGGATCAAGACGTCCTTTGTCACCACCTAGACGTGCATTTTCTCCACTGATGCGTCAAATATCACCCAGAAGACATATGTCACCACCAAAACAATACACGTCTTCAATGAGAACTTCCATGACATCGCCGAGAAGAAAAATGTCTCCTATAAGACATCAAGTAACTATGTCAAAAAGACATCATCTATCGTCATCTGGAAGGATTATATCTCCGTCACGTCGAGAAATGCAAAGAATGATGTTAATGTCTCAAGAGAGACGGCATCAATCTCCTATGCGAGTGGAATCATCATTTCGAATCGTTTCGAATCGTCCTATATCACCTCTAAGCCGTCAAATAACGCCACCTGAAAGATACTCTGACGATTGGGATATACCAAGTCGTGGTGCCATCGAACAAAGTACTTGGCATCCTAGCAGTAGAATACCCAATAAATCGTGGCGCGATGAAAGACAATCTTCTAATTCCAATTGGGACCAACAAGCTTCTAGTATTAATAGATATCGTAATAGTATTGTAAATCAAGATAAGTGGGATATTAAAAACTCGTCTCAAGATAATGTAAAAATTTCTGTTGGAGGAGATATATGGAATACTAAACTATCATCAATGATGCAAAGTTCAAAGGATGCCTGGACTACAAATTTTGATAACAGGTGGTCAGGATCTTCGAGCTTACCATTAAATAACGATAATTGGAATATTCGAGGAAAGGAAAGTTTCAGTAGCAGAGAAGAATCCTGGATGGATAAAAATAAGAGCAGGTGGACAGATCCACAAATGATTAAGGATATTTGGAATCAAAAAGGAGATAAAGATGATTGGAACGATCTTCCAGAAGATGCAATAGATCCATGGAGTGACGATAATAGTATTGGTCTAAAGGAACGATGGTACAAGTTTGATCCACCAAGTACATCCAGTTGGGGAAGAGAGGACGAAATGATGGACTCGTGGTCTAATCAAAAAGATAATTGGCAAAACAAAGGACAATCTGCTGGAGCTTCCAAATCTCTATGGGAAAGCAATAATAATCAAAATCTAGGAGATGTACTTTGGATGGATATTTCAAAAAAATTGCCACCTCCTGCCTGCCAGAGTGGAAATACTTTAGGGACGTCATGGCAACAGCAGCCTGTGTTAAATTTACAATCTCAGCGTTCTTTTACAATGGATCACTTTAAAGATCTTTGATAATATTCTTCTTTTCTTTCTAATAAGCTATAGAGAAAATTTGTATTTAATTATTTTCCCTTTAAATTGTTTTTATTGTGGTTATTAAAGTTTATTTTATTTAAAGTAATCAAATAGCTAAAAGCAAATAATTGTGATCAAAAGAAAAATATTTTGTTATAATTTTTTTCATTGTAATTATTAGAATTAAATATTTGTACAACACAATTTTTTGATTATTCCTATTTTTTTTTTGCCAATAAATATGTATGTATGTTAAATAACAACGTACAACTGTTATAAGTATTTTGAACATCATAACCGTTGGCGACAGAACTGTTATGTATACTATTATAATACTTATTATAATAATATCGTTTTTTCATATGAATAACGTTATTGTAATGTAAACATTATATTCACAAATAAAAAGAAATGTATCTCATAATGATATGTAATCGTATTGATTTTAGCATTGTTTTCATTTTTATGTAATTGTTTTATTTAAATTAAATGAAATTTTAAGAACGTTAGATGCTCCAATTATAACATGTAAAGGCATTATATACGAAGAAAAAAGAGTGTATTTTTGTTTGAAATAAGCATCATTTAAATTTGTTTACTCTTAACAATAAGTATAGAAAATCTTGACGAGAATGTTTCAAAGAAATGCACTTTTCAGCATTGCATCCTTTGAAATTTGTTGTACTTTCCATGCGAAATTTATAACTCAACAAAGCATTCTACGCGTAGAAAAAAGAGAGAACTTTAATTCAATTTAAAAAGAATTACATCCGCTCGCTACAAGTATAAAAACTATTGACGCAAACTATCCAAAAAAACGATACTTATTTCTGGTCCTACGTGGGAATGCCCGATCGGGAAGTGATTTAAACAAAAAGCGACATAACTGTTCTCTGACACTTCATGAACCTTTGCAGATCGATTTATTACTAGATATAGTATTCTTTCCGTAGGAATAAGAGTTTAATTTTATTTAATATGTAGGTCACTTATATCTTTTTACCTTAAGTATAGGAAATCTTAACGCAAGATTTTCAAATAAATTATAAAGATATACACTGTTCCGCAGTGCATTCTCTGAAATTTTATGTCTAATAGATTGTTGATTACGGTGTATTTTAAAATATAATATTATTCATACATTTTAACTACTATCAGAACACAATCTAGAAACAGTGGAATAGAATCTTGCCAAGATCGATGACCCTAAAACAAAAATTAATTTTATATTACTACGTATTACTTATATGTAATTTTTATTAATTTATTTTTATATCCTAAATGATTACATTACAAACCTTGGAATACTATTGCAGACATTCTTGTAAATATCCATTGATAAAGCGGTACTTTTTAATATTATTCCTTACAACTTGAAAAAAACAGTACATTCTAAAACAAAAAACTAGATGAAAAGGGCATGTGTGGAAAAATGAAATTCGGTATATAATCCGCGACCAAAACTTTTCAATTAAATTATTTAATAAATAATGAAATTGAAAAAATAAAGAATTTAAATGACCAATAAGTGGACATTACAAAATATCGAATTCTCGATGCATTAAAAAATGTGTTTTTCTATATTTAAACACAAGTGAATATAAAAAAATGCATGTCTCTGATGCATGCTTCTTTCAATATACAAATGTATGAACAGAAAAATGTTTCTATTTCATACAAAATTATTAATCGATTAATACAATTACAAATACACATAGAAAATTATTCAAGACACATTATAAAAAAACTTGATCAATTATGAATATCTCACAATATTTAAAAATTAATTAACTTTGCTTTCAAAAGAAAGAAAAATTAGAAATATTGCACCTTGCGTCGTATTACAAAATGCATACGCAATTATGCATATCACCATAACTATAACCATAACGAGATCAAATGTATGTTTGATCGATAGAGTACATAAATCTATTATTTAATTACATTTATATTAACGCGAAGTATGCAATTACATCGACGAGTGTCTAATGTACATATTACACCACTTAAATATATACAAGACACTTTCTTATTTTTAGTAAACTATAAAAAAAAACAAAAAATAGTTACACAATTTCACAATTTTCGAAGCACATATTTTAAATAAATATGAATTGAAGTGTATCAATGCAATATGAAATCTTAAAAGAAAAAAAAATTGAAATTCAATATACAAAAATATTAATTGAACATTGAAACAATATTGATAATTAATTAATTGCTAGTGCTTGCTTTAACAGATTCTAAGCTAATCAAGTCTTATAGATTGTTAACCGGAATAATATGAGTAATTTTGATTATTAATTAGGAGGATGATTGACTCTAATTGGACTA